AAGATTTGGGATGGAACTTACCTGGAAGCCTCCTCCATGAGGACTGTCTCTCATAGTATCAGAAGGTGCTATGCAAGCTGTCAAGGAAGAAAAGATAATCAACAGTCCTCTCCAGCTATATAGCCTCTGAACCACAGCAATGACTGGCACATCAGGATATACCCAGTGGTGCAGCAGTGGTAGCAGGAGTTAGAGGATTAACCAAAAACTAACGTGTAACTGGATTTAAGGCTCACTTAATAGGGAGAAATTCATGGGCCGTAAACCTAGCAAACTACCTATGGCTGGAGAGATCTTAGGTCCTAAAGGAGATCCTACTACTGCCGTTTTTCTAAGTCAGAACAATGTACTTTCTAAATGTATTCTTAATATTTTCACCTACAGATAAGTGTAGCTCTGGCCCCACATCAAAGTTGCTTTTTGCAGACTGAGGTCATTTCAGAAATGCACACTGGCCAAATGCAAAGAGCAACAAACTGATCGTGGGGTTCCTAGCCCCAGTTAATACATCTACAACCCAACCCCTACACCTAAGACTTCGGGGACATCATGGAAGAGGGGCAGGAAGATTACAAAAACCAAAAACCCAGGATGCTAGATAGTATCTTATAGACAGAAAGAGAAAACTGCACCCATGAAATCTCAACAACATGGTTGCTTAAATATGCTCTGTATAATCATACCAGTTGATAGACCATCCTGGACAGTGTATCTCCCAAGATCCAACCTCTACATGAGGAGCTACAGCCAATCAATGGCTGGTGAAAGATGGAGAATCAGTTTTCTCCAGGAATGAGGCCCTGATAGGTTAGCCAATCCCAAGTACTCAGACCAAAACATAACTACAGAAAAGCAATACCAAACACTAAATGGACCCAGTAAGATTTTCTGGGTTTTTTGTTTTGAGGTGTGACAATAATAATATAGAGGAAGAGGCCATCAAGTTGAGAGGGTTGGGAAGAATATGGGAGAAATTGGGAAGGGAGAAAAAGGCATCTAGAAATTATTTAAATATTACTCATATATGAAATTGCCCAAAAATAAAAAAGTTAAAAACTGACAGGAAATTCCAGACCATCTGTCTAGCATATCAAAAGTACCCATTCTTAAGTACCCACTTAAGTACGTACCTGCTCCTAAGCCAGACACTAAAGCAGACATTGTTGAGTCAACCTCATTTAATTTACTCTCTCAAGAAACCCACGGGGAAAGTATAGTATTGTTTCTTAGAAATAAGGAAACTCAAACCCAGAAAAGGAGTGCTTTGTCTCAGGTAACACAGCAGGTAAGAGCTAGAGCCACAAGGGAAGGCACCTGCACCAGAGTCCTCTCAGTGGGCTGAGAGCAGACTAAAGATGAGCGTCCCTGCACCCCAGATTTTGCTGAAGACATTCCTTTAATATTCTCAAACTTACTTGACTGCAGAATTATTTTTGAGCAATCCTTCATAACATTTTGTTGTGAGTTAAACTAAAGAAAGAAGTATAACAACCCCCTACCTCAGAATGAAACATATATGGAAGTAGAGTCACCAGGGATGTAAACAGTTAAGGAAAACGAGATTGTACTTGAACACAATGGCACCAATCCAATATAACTGCTCATATAAAGAAAAGAGACACACAGAAAGGAAATCCCATTGTAAACACAGAGGCAGGATTGTAGTAAAGAGTTTAAACCAAGGGATACCAAGGGCACTACCTAGAAGACATAAGCAAGGCTGTCTTTCAGAAAACATGGCTCTGCAGACTCTAGAAGCAGGAGATAAGGGGTTTCCGTGTTTTAAGCTATGCACTTGGAAACACTTGATTTTGACTACACTAAAAAATTAAATGCAGTTTTGAAAAGCTAGTATCCTATCGAATAAACTTCTATATGATGATGGGAAAGTTACTTAGTCATAAAAATATGATACATGTTAATATTTAGAACATTGTGTAGAATACAGTTGAAGTCAATAAATTATAGTTATTCATTACTTTCAAGCAATGCTGTAACCCCCAGGAGGAGGTGATCAAAGAGCTAGCCACTGAGTTAATGTCAGAAACAGCTCCTGCTCCCTTTACTAGGAAACCCACTTGGACACTGAGCTGCCTATCAACTATATCTGAGCAGGGTGTCTAGGTAGAGATTTGCTGAAGAAAAATAAGATGATTCATAAACTTGAAGGAACAATGAAGACTGGCATCTCAGGAAAAAAGAAAACATGACAGCTGTGGGGGTCCTAGGAAGCAAGAACTTCCAGAGTCATTTTAAGATATCAAGAAGACAATGTGCTCATGATTTCTAAGCCTCACACAGTGTCCTAGCGCCAGGCTTCTAATGGGCCTCACTTGACCTTGAACTTTCTTCTCATGAAGACCAAACACCCTCAGTAGACATTGAACAGTAGAGAGAATGGACTATTTCCCCAAAGTGAATCCACGTGCTGCTAAGCGTGAGAGGTAACAGTAAAAGGTGAAAGGCATCCGAGAGCCTGGAGAGTTGGGAAGAAGCCAGTTGATAGTTCTTGGGGAGCCTTCCACTTCATTCCCTTCCATTTCCTGCCCTGTTTCCAACAAGCGGTCACCACTTCTCTATTTTCAATGTTTTATAATACAAGTACTCATCACATAAAATTTTAAATGTTTGCTAACAAGTCTTCATTCATTACACTGACATTAACTAGAAATTATTAGAAAATATAGCTAGGTGAAAGAATAAGCATTTGATGGCACCTGCACAAAACAGAAACAGATAAAGACAATGATACGTTTTGTTTATATTCAGACAGACACTTCGCTATACCTAGAAAGACAGTGGAAGTCACCATTCATGAGGTTGCCTGTCTCAGTTCATGACCATTCATGAGTTTACTGGCCTCATTTCATGGCAGAGTTGATGTTGCTCCACCTACCCTCCTCATGACTTATGAGCAACACCTGCTGGTCAGTAATAGAAATTCTCACTCAATGTCACTCAAGATTTCAATTTCCCACATGAAGAGCAAGCTCACATCTGCTACATATATGTAGGGGGCCTATGTCCAGCCCACAAGTGCTCTTTGGTTGGTGGTTCACTCTCTGTGAGCCCGCATGGGCCCAGGTCAGTTCACTCTGTAGGTTTTCTTGTGGTGTTCTAAACTTCTTAGGCTCCTTTAATCCTTCCTCCCACTCTTCCACAAGACTCCCTGAGCTCTGCCTATTGTTTGGTTGTGGGTTTCTGTGTCTGTTTCCATCAGCTGCTGGATGAAGCTTCTCATAAATGCAGCTTGTTCTTCATGTGGGTCCCCTAACAATTGGAGGGGAGCCTATATCTGACTCTGTCTGCCTTTGGATCCCTTTCCCATAGCTGGACTGCCCTGTAGGGCCTTAGTGGCCGAGTGTGTGCTTAGTCCTGCTGCGACTTGATGTGCCAGGATGAGCGGATACTCAAGAGGGGCCTCCTCTTCTTTGAGGAAAGGGTGAGGGAAAGTGGGGGGAAGAGGGCAGTGAAGGTGAGACTGGGAGGAGAGAAGGGAGGGGATGTTCAATCAAGCTGTAAAGTGAATAAGTAAATAAATTAAAATGGAAAAGAAAAAAAATATTACTCTGCAGAAAGAAAGAAAGAAAGAAAGAAAGAAAGAAAGAAAGAAAGAAAGAAAGAAAGAAAGAAAGAAAGATGTATTGATTTTAATTTCCCTAAGGAGT